ATTGTATACATTATAAACAGTACTTAGATTGTATTATGTTTACCATGTATATTTCTTAGCTTCATCTCAAACTGTTTTCATTTCTGCCTGAGATTTTCTTTAGTTTTTTTCTTTATTTTCCCTCTGTAGGAAAAAAAGTTCATTGGTATCATTTTCTCAGTATCATTATCAGTGTGAATATATAAATGCATTGGTGAAACTTCCAACATATTTCTATTAAAATTTCTCATCTTACTGTAGTACACAGAAGAGGATGCGACTATATTCTCTGTTATTTTAAGTATACTACATTACTAGTACGTAGCATAGGAGAGCTGTTCATTCATTAAAATATAAGTAATTTTTCCCTTGAAAAGGACTGTTATTTATTTATTTATTTATTTTTTTGTATTTTAGTGCAGGGTATACAGGGACTACAGGGTCTCACTACATAGATTGGACTTGTAGTGATTCTCCTGTTTTCAGCTTCCCAAGCACTGGGATTACAGGCGCGCACCACCATGACCAGTCTCAATCACTGTCTCAACGTACCCCAGGGGCGGGGCCAGCAAGTCAGGCCGGGGATTGAACCACTGACCTCTGTGTCTACCTAAGCAAGTGCTTTAATCTGTGAGCTATGTGGCCAGCCCAGACTATGTTATTTAAAAACAAAACAAAACACCAAAAACTTCTGTAAGTTTTAAGTATATCAAACATTTGTGGAAGATCACCAAAAATTCTTTTAAATAAATATCAAAGTTTCTTTCTTTCTTTTTTTTTAAAAACTTATTAATGATTCACTACATAGCTTGGATTTCTAGTAATCCTCCTGTTTTCACCCTCCCCCGCGCTGGAATTACAGGCATGCGCCACCATGCCTGGATTACTCAGTGACTGGCTCAGTGCACCCAAAGGTGGGACTGGTGTGGCATGTGATGCTGGAGATTGGGGATTGAACTCTGGTCTCTGAGCTTGCCTAAGCAGGTGTTTAGTCTGCTACTCTACTATGCTGGCCCCAAAGGTTTTTTTTTTCTAGATAGATGTTTTAGTTACTTTTCTCTTGTTGCTGGGACAAATACCTGACACTCAAAATAAGGGAAGGAAAGATTTATTTAGCTCACAGTTACTGGAGGTTTCAAGACACTGCCCCCACTTCACAGGGTCTGGAGGAGAGGCTGGAGCACCCCCATGTCCAGGATAACCCACTCCATACCTCCAAGAGAGGCCACCAGGCCTTGAGGGGTGTGCAGTGCATACTGTCAGTTTAATGGTTTGCACCTCTTTGGCCCTGCCCCTTAAGTCATGTGCTGCTCCTCTAGATGCTTCTCCCACGACCTACATGAGGCTTTGGGGGGACAACTAGACAAAAACGGTAACAATAGGAAATAAAAATGTTTTATCAAAAGCATTATTTTCTTATATGTTTTCAAAAGGTAGTAAGATGTGTTGGTGGCTGTCGTCTCTTGAAGTTGAACAAAGGGGCAATTTTTCTGTTTTGGGTACCATGTCTTTATGGATCTCTCTCTCTCTCTCTTTATGATAATACCTACGGGATAAGTGGTTCTGGTTAACTAAAGATGTACTGGCAAACTCCCAGTAATAACTGCTACCAAAAGTACTTCTGCCTTCAAAAGTATGGAATGCCAGGGATAACTTAGTGAGGGGTTTTGGGGTGTGGAGAATTTCACATGTCTTCTGTGTTACAATGGATAATTGTAAATAAATGTGGCAGTAGAAGATAAGTACAAGAAACAACTCTACTGACACTGGGAAATCAACTCAGATTTTAGGGAAATGAATTATATTATCTTTTCAATGCAACGGATGCCTTAGGGTAGTAAGGCTTAAATTCTTCCCGGAGTACACTGTTTTTGCCTCAAGTTCCTGAAATGATTTACTTTGAATGTCTTGTAGTATTATACAAACAATTAAAAAATTATTATTTTTTTTAGATTACAGGTCCCCCAGGTTGTGGTAAAACCCAGTTTTGTATAATGATGAGTGTGTTGGCTACGTTACCCACCAACATGGGAGGATTAGAAGGAGCTGTTGTGTATATTGACACAGAGTCAGCATTCAGTGCCGAACGGTAGGATATTTTATTATTTCCATAATAATGTGTTGCTTTCATAACGTATAATGTGGAACATTTACAAAATTCATTAGTTTTTGCTTTGATCTTTATAGTTCTTTTTGTTCTATTAACTTCAGATTTGGATGGACATTGAGAGGAATGATTAGGTTATTTATTTGGAATTGTGGTATTTTCATGTGTACATATATAGATATTAACTTCCATCTTAGAAATAGTTTCATTTGTTCCATAGGTTTTCATATGTTATGTTTCCGTTGTCATTTGATTCTTGGAACTTTTTGTTTTTCATTTTTTTCTGTGATCTGTTGATTATTCAATAATGTCTCATTTAATCTTCAAATGTTTATGTAGTTTCTGTGACTTCTTTTACTTTCTGTATTGTGCTGATTACTTCAATTTTTATATTTAGGCATGCTTTATGGCCTAACATATAATCTATTTTGAAACATGTTACATATGCTATTGAGAAAAATGTGTGTTCTATTGTTGGATAGAACACTGTATAAATACCTGTTAAGTGTATTTGTTCAATAGTCTAATTTAATTCTGATGTTTCTTTGTTGATTTTTTCTGTCTGGTTCTCCTGTCTATTTGTGAGACTGTGACATTTAAGTCCCCCACTAAGATTGTATAGTAAATCCCCAACTTATGCATATTTGTGTTGCAAACTTTTACAGATACTAACAGACCTCACATTTAGTTGTATTTTTGTGTGAAAGGTGTACTAGACTCACTTTGTTCGACTTATGCATGATTCTGACTTATGAATATTGTATCTGAACAGAACTTATTTTTGTGGAACTTGTACAAATTTCATTAATTTCGCTCTTGTAAGTTGGGAACTTATTGCATTGATGTTATCTTTTCCCTTCAGTTTAATAGTTTTTGTTTTATGATGTTGAGTTTACTAACATTCAGTGAATAGATATTTACAATTGTGATCTCTTTCTGTTGAATTGTTCCCTTTACTCTGTCTCTTCTGATCAATTTTGGCTTGAAATATGATAAGATTGATTTGAGTCAATGAAAAAGCAGGAGATAGTACAAATGACATAAAAAACTTGTTCACAGAGGTAATGGCAGAAAACTTCCCAAGGAGGGAAGAAGAATTTGACATACTCATAAGTGATGCATATAGAGCTCCAATTAGCTAGGATTAAAAAAAAAATCTATCCAAGGCATATAATAGTCAAGAGTCCACAAATTAAACACAAGAACAGTATTAAAAGCTGTTAGAGGGCTGGTGAGATAGCTCAGCAGACAAAGTGCCTGCTTTTGCAAGCTCAGGAACCAGGGTTTGATCCGCAGTCCTGCATACCCTGCCAGCCCTGCTCCTGAGGTACACTGAGCCAGTGACAGAGTCCAGGCATGATGGCAGCACATGCCTATAATTCCATCACTGGGGAGGCTGAAAACAGGTGGATCACCATGAGTGCAAGACCCTGTACCAAATACACAGATGGAAAAAATAAAGGTGTTAGTAAAAATAAACAAATCACCTATAAAAGAAGGCCCAATAGAATTATGGCAGACACAAATCCTTAAGTAAAGGAGAGCTTGGAGTGAAGTATTCCAGGCCCTAAAAGAAAGCAGTTGCCATCCCAGATTAATGTACAACACAAAGCTATCTTTCAAAATTGATGGAGAAATAAGACACTTCCATGAAGAAGAACACCTGAACAAATTCATGACCATCAAACTAGAACCCCCAAATATTTGGAAGGATGTTCTAGAAAGAGATAACACAGACTACAACTCTATGAATTCCAACAGAAAGAATCCATTCCACAAGGCAAACAAATAGAGGATTGAACAGGAAAGGAGGAGCCAACAACAGGAAAATAACCCCAAAATTATTAATCAGTACATACTAGTTTTAGCCATCAATGTAAATGGTCTCAATTCACCAAACAAAAGAGACAGACTCACAGAATGGATCAAGAAGCAAGATTCAACAATATGCTGCATATAAGAAACATGTAATTCAAAACTGAATTCATAAACTGAAAATCAAAGCATGGAAAACAAAACTCCATGTGATAGGAATCTGGAACAAAGCAAGGGTAGCTAGTCTCTTTGTAGTCAAAGTGGACTTCAATTTAAGCCTGATTAAGAGAGACAAAGAAGGTCACTGTATCCTTGTAAAGGGAACAATCCAAGAGGAAGAGATAAGTCATGTACACCATATACCAGAGCACCCAACTATATAAAATAAATATTAACAGATGTGAACAATCAAATGAACGCTAATACAATTGTAATGGGGTCCTCCCTACCCCCAACAACTAGACAAAAAATAATGAAATATCAGAACTGAACCAAACTCTTGAACAAATGGACTAAGTAGATATCTATAGAGTGTTCCATTCCACAACATCAGAATAACATTATTCTCAGCTGTGCGTGGGATGTTCTGCAAAATAGACTGCATACTAACTCATAGAATATGCTTAAGTAAAGGTGAAGGAATTGAAATTATCCTGTGGTTATTATCAGTCTGATAGTAAAATGAAATTGTAAGTCAATGGCATAAGAAATTCATAAACACATGGAAATTAAATAATACTCTCCTGAACAACCAGTGGATCACAGATGAAATTAAGAATTTAGACAAGTTTCTACAATTAAGTGATAATGCGAGTATATAACATACCTGAATTTATGGGACACAGTGAAAGCAGTCCTACAAGGGAAATTTAGAGTGGTGGATACCCATATCAGAAAAACAGCCAGGGATGTAGCTCAGTGGCACAGTGCCTGCCTTGCAAGCATAAGATCCTGAGTTTGTTTCCTGGCACAAAAAGAGAAAACAAACAAACAAAAAGCCAGAACACAGGGAGTGAAGTATTTCAAGCCCTAAATACTTAATAACCTAATGTTGAACTTCAAGATTCTGGAGCAAGAAGAGGAAATCAAAACTAAAACTTGTGCAAGGGAGATTATAAAGGTCAGCTCAGAAATTAACGTGGTGGTGACTAAGAATATAATACAAAGCATCAGTGAATGGAAGAGTCATTGAAAGATTAAGTTAAATCGAAAAACCTTAGCCAATCTTATCAGATATGTTTGATAGGAGAGCAGATAAGGACATTGATTTACTTAAATTGTTCAAGTAAAAAGTACTCTTTAAATGGCCAGTGGCTAGCCTGCTATGGTGACACATGCCTGTAATCCCAGCACTTGGGAGTCTGAGGCAAGAGGATTTGAGTTCATGACCCTACAAAGTAAGTTCAAGACCAGCCCTAACCGCACAGTGAAGCCAGTGAGTGCATGCCTGTAGTCACAGTGGCTCTAGAGTCTGAGGCAGGAAGACCACAAGTTTGTGTGCAATTTAGTGACTTAGTAAGATCTTGTGCCGAAAAAGAAAAGAAAACACCTGGGCTTGTAGTTTAGCTTTAAAGGTCTTAGGTTCAATCCCCAGTACAAAACAAAACAAGCACCAATGACTAGCCTTCAACTAACACACTGTACATTCATAGGATTAGTCAAGTATAAATAGCTAATGTACAAATAGTTCTTTTAAAATTGCTTGTGAGGAATTCAGTTAAAGAATTCAAGGATAAGGTTATTCTGATAACAGCAGTTCAGTTTACTGTAATGGATTCCTATTTTCTTTTTCCCACATAGAAAGTTGCCTTTAAGATATCCTTTTAAGGAGTAAACTGTGGTATGATGCTGCTGTTATCAGTATTATAGTTCAAAGCAGTTTAAAAACCATATCAGAAAAGGGGTGATATCCAACATAAATAGAGTTAGCAAGTGACTAGCTTTCTGCATTTTCCAAATTGATTTGTGGAGATTTTTGTTTGTGTTTCTTTGCATATAGTCTCAGTACATATTTCTGGATCCTTTACATTTACTTATTTCTCTTTCATCTTTTCTTGTCTTTGTGCTTGTTAGTACTTCAGAGCCAGGTTAGAAAATGCAGATGTAGAATTTTAGTTGACTGAAAGAATCAGGTTACCTAATTTCCAAGGAGCTCTTATGAGTGTCATTTGGGAATGGTGTGATTGTTGTTTTTTGTTTCATTCTCCCCAAAGGGTTGAAATATGGGGTCTTTTGGCTTCCACATAGGTTTGGCATTGTAATAGCATCAGTTGAAGTAAGAAGTTCCAGTGCTTTTGGTATTGATCCCTTCTAGAGCCAGGTCGGGTGGGCCTTAGAGTGAGCTGACCGTAGTACATGGGCACCTTTCATTTATTGTGGTATAGGACTGTTTAATGTTTGATCCTTATCTGGAGTTACCAGACAAAAGGTTGGATAATTAGGCAAGTTTTCTCCTACAAATAACTGAACACTCAAAGAACAATGGTTTAAATTTTTTTTAAAGCTTTTTTTCATACAGTAAGACCTGGCAGCTCATCTGTGCAGTGATTGTCAGGAACATGTAACCATTCTGTGCTTGAGTCAGTGGGGAGGCAAGGGCTGGTTATGCCCTTTAGAAGGAAAGCATACTTTCCTTTTTAGAATATCCACCTCTTTCTTTTATTTTTTTTTTAATTTTTTTTTTCCCGGAACCGGGGATTGAACTCAGGCCTTTGTGCTTGCCAGGGAAGCACTTATTCCACTGAGCCATCTCCCCGTCCACCTCTTTCTACCTGCATATTTTTTCATTTTTTTCCTGTTCTCTAAAATCCTCTACCGTCCTTTTATGGATTTCTTACTGTGCCACCCATATGTGTAAGAGCAGATGGGAATGTGAGAGGAAAAGACTATTGTAAAAATTGGAATAACATTGTAACTCTTGAAGTAAGAACAGAGTGGAAGTGGATATTGGGTTGGAACTTCACAGATGTCTGCCATTGCTCAGATAGTTTCCAGGCCTTGAGATGTAGAATAGGGAAGGATGAGATTCACAAAGGAGTGTTTTAGCTCTTGATATGTTCTGTAGCATCATCTCCGTTTTGTGCTCATGAAGTAAGCTTTCTGTTCAGCACAAATGAGAAAGTGTGTGAAGGGTTAGTATGAAGAAGGATTAAAGGATTCATACATGG